TCATACATTAAAAGCATCAAAATCCACTCTTTAATTCCAGTGGAAAACACTGTACAATTCTGGCTGTGGTTTTCCAAGTCTGTTCAAACAGCTTTCAGTTTTTTGAACATCTTTGGGGAACCATGATTCTGACCATCATGAGGACTTTGAGCAATGGAGTAATGATCACTCTCGCTGCTCTGTTGAAAACAGTTGTGGGAAGGGGTAGGGAGGCCAAGAAAGAAAACAGGGAAACTGGTAAAGAAGCTAAAGCAATAATTCAGCAGAGAAACGCTGGTGGCCAGGATCAGGGGAGGGGTTGCAGAGGAGGGAGTTGAGGTTGGATAAGTGATGGTAGGTTTTGTGTGCCAACTTGACTAGACTACAGTCCCCAGCTATTCAATCAAACATTGATCTGGGGAACTTCCCTCATGGTCCAGGGGTTAATAATCTGCCTGCCAGTGCAGGGGACACGGGTTCAATCCCCAGTCCAGGAAGATCCCACGTGTCATGGGACAACAAAGCCTGTGTGCCACAACTGCTGAAGCACATGCATTCTAGGGCCCGTGCACCACAATGAGAAGCCCGTGCACTGCAACTGAAGAGCAGCTCCCACTCCCGCAACTGGAGGACGCCCGAGAGCAGTAAACGAAGACCAGCACAGCCTAAATAAATAAATTTAATTTTTAAAAATTATTTTTTAAAAAACCCACTGATCTGGGTATAATTGATGTGATTATAACCCACACACATAATTGATGTGATTAAGTTTCTAACTATTGTTCTGTTGCTAAGCCATGTCTGACTCTTTGTGACCTCATGGACTGTACCAGGCTTCCCTGTCCTTCACCATCTGCCAAAGTTTGCTCAAACTCATGTCCATTGCATAGGTGATGCCATCCAACCATCTCATCCTCTGTCATCCCCTTCTCCTCCTGCCTTCTATCTTTCCAAGCAGCAGGGTGTTTTCCAATGAGTCAGTTCTTCGAATCAGGTGGCCAAAGTATTGGAGCTTCAGATTCAGCATCAGTCTTTGCAATGACTATTCAGGGTTGATCTCCTTTAGGATTGACTGGTTTGATCTCCTTGTAGTTCAAGGGACTCTCAAGAGTCTTCTTCAATGCCACAGTTCAAAAGCATCAATTCTTTGACACTCAGCCTTCTTTATGATCCAACTCTCACATCCATACATGACTATTGGAAAAACCATAGCTTTGACTATCTGGATCTTTGTCAGAAAAATGATGTCTCTGCTTTTCAATACACTGTCTAGGTTAGTCATAGCTTTTCTTCCAAGGAGCAAGCTTTTAGTTGACTTTAAATTGGGGAAATCATCCTAGATTCAGGGTGGGCCTGACTGAATCAGCTGGAAAGCCTTCTGGGCGGAACTAAGGTTTCCTTGATGAAGAAGTTCTGCCCGTGGACAGCACCTTTGGCTGATGCCGTGTCTTCTCCTGCCCTTCCTCACAGCCCACACCACAGACTTCAGCCTCATCTAACCAGCCCTACAATCATTTAAGCAATCATTCCTGGCAATACATCTCCTACTGGTTCTGCTTCTCTTGTTGAACCATATATATAGATACAGATATTGAATACATTTTGTGATTTAGGTTGTTTTAAATATGAAACAAATTTCTAACGTGGAGCTGAGAGGCCATGCTGGTGGACTGGAAGTGGGATGTGAGGAAGAAAGGAGTCAAGGATGATTCCAAAATTTTCACCCTGAGCAGCTAGAAAGTGGCTTACTAGTCTCTTTCTAAGGTAGGAATCAATCAACTATGAAAATCATCCAAAGGAGCCCATTCAAATGACATGAAAAAAATGCCCCATTTCCTCCCAAGGAATCCCCTTTTGAGAGAGAGGGCGTCACAGGCAGGAATGGGCAGGAGAGCCTGGCCAGCCTTGAGGTGGGCAGGCTTCAATCCAAGGGGGGAAATAGGGACTAGAGTCCCCCTATGTTTCCTGCCACTCATCCAGAGATAGTATGGTTTTATTCTGATTCTGGAAGAGCAGATCTTTTCACTGTCCCCTGCTGTGAACCCTGCCTCCCCCACTGGTGTGCACTGTGTGGGAACAAGTCAGCCAAACCCTGAGCCAAAAACAAGCCAGGAGGGCTGAATAGAGACTTTATGAGTACTTGCTGCTCTTGGGCTTCTTTTTCCTGTGAAGGAACAGGGTGTGCTTGAAAGCAGAAAGTGACCTGGGTTTTTTATTTTGTTTTTTAAAAAAATCTTCCTGGAAGGCAGAAAGGAAAAAGGAAAAAAGGAAAGCACAGCATTTGCTTGTCACTCGTTCTGCTCTGGTGAACACGGCAGTGGGGCCTCTGATCCCAACCTGGCCCTGAACAAAACTGAAGAAATGAAAGGGGTGTTTCCGTAAGTCTGGCTGCTCAGAGAGACCCTGAGGCGGCAGAGCTGTGAGGTACCAGCCCACACACCAAGACCTCCATTTCTTCTGCCTTCCAGAACACAGCCAGCAAACTGGCAGTCCTGCTTCACCAAGCCTCCCCGGCACATCAGCTGTTCACAGAGAATGGAAGCCTCCACCCCTGCAGGTCTGCAGTGAATGCCTCAGTTTCTAGCCCAGTTGTTGCCAGTATAAACGTTTAAGGGGTTCACCAGTAAATAACTCCATTCACTTCCCATGTGGCACAGTAGTAAAGAACCTGCCTGCCAATGCAGGAGACTTGAAAGACGCAGGTTCGATCCCTGGGTTGGGAAGATCCTCTGGAGAAGGAAATGGCAACCCACTCCAGTATTCTTGCCTGGAGAATTCCAGGGACAGAGGAGCCTGGAGGGCTACAGTCCATGGGGGTCACAAAGAGTCAGAGACGAATGAGTGACTGAGTATACACACACACACACACACTGGTAAATAAATCAATAGAGCATTTCATCTGAAGGGGCCAGAGACTGTGCTTCTTCAGTCTCAGGTAAACAGCCAATGATTTCATGCCAGGAAGCACTTTGTTAAACCAGCTAGTTTCCAGAACCTTCTTTCTCCCTCTCTCTCCATCTGCACTGGATCTCCAGTGAGAAATCAGGAGCAGATCCTTTGACCCAGAAAAGGATCAAGGTGTTTGTTTTTCCTATAAAAGCCAAGTCTGGGACTTCTCTGGTGGTCTGATGGTTAAGAATCCACCTTCCAATGCAAGGGACGTGGGTTTGATCCACGGTCGGGGAACTAAGATCCTACATGTCTTGGAGCAACTAAGTCCATATCGCAACTAGAGAGCCCATGGCCATCAACAGAAGATCCTGTGTGCTGCAACTGAGACCCGATGCAGCCAAATAAATAAATATTTTTTAAAAAGCCAAGTACTCAGGTTTCAGGTGCACTTTGAGTGATTTCTGCAGGGTCATTGCTTCCTCTCCATCTGAAAGTCTCATTGCTAACAGAAAATTGGATGAGATCCTAATTGCTCAGGTCTGTGCTGCAAAGAAAGTGAAGTATTTTTGTCCTACCTCCCTCTGCCCTTGATCATTACAGGAAAGGGGGAAAGCCCCAAGGAGTCTGGTTTGGGGTAAAAACATGCACCGTACAAGATTTTCATGAAGATTAGACAACTTGGGCCAAGGGCTTGACAACTTGGAAGCTGCCAAGGGCTCTACAGATGAGATATACAGAAGTCTTGGCTGAAAACCGACTTAGATTGACAAGCCTAATGCAGACACGAGAAGCTGAAATGGCCTCTGCAGTCTCTGGAGGGGCGGGGGGCAGGGGGTTTTAGCCAGACAAGGATGGGAACGGCATCTCCCAAAAGAACACTAGAAGAATTCTCAGCCCAGCAAAAAGCTGAGGAGAGGGGACTGCGAGTGACGTAAGAGGATCTGTGTGGTTTTCCCGTTTCTAGTCTCCAGGGCTTTATGTGTATGAAGGACACACTCGGTGCCAAGGGCGCGGCCCAGGGGCCTGTGGGAAACCAGCCCCAGGAGCCCCCGTCATCTCTGTCACAGTGCGCGGGGTGAAGGACATCCAGAGCGTGGGATCCCAGGAGCAGAGGAAATTTTGGCTTCTATATGGTGTTTCCAGACTAAATATTTCTTCCTTTCTGTTCATGAAGCTTCTTTTCTGATGATTCTGGCAATGCAAGCCAGCATAAGGACTGCGCTGACCATGCCTGTCCCACATCTTTCCAGCTCTTTCCAGCAGTGCTTGGCAAAGGAAAACGAGGATAGAAAGTGTGAGAGCAAAACGCCTCAGAAACATGCAGAAGGGGCCACTGCTGGGGAGGACGAGGACAGAGCTAATGTACACTGACTGATGACTTGCTACGGGCCAGGCATTCTTCTAAGTATTGTTTATTATTAGCTCGCTTGATCCTCAGTACAGTCCTATGAGGCAAGATAATTCTTGTCGCCACTTAATGGATGAGGAAGCCAAGGCACAAAAAAGTAATTCTCTCAAGGTCACGAGGGTAAAGTCAGGCTTTGAACACAGATCACCTACCTGCATAATCTTCCATTAAATGGATATAACATACTTCCCTAGCTTGTCATCAGAAAATGAGGAAACAGTATGCCAGAAAGGGTAAGACACAGGGTGGACTATAATGATGTAGCTAAAGAGGTACTAAAGATGTAGCATCACAGCTTAGAACGTAAAATGGTTTTGACTTCTGTATCAGTAAGTTACTCTACAAATAACAAAATATATATGGGGCTTCCCAGGTGGCACTAGTGGCAAAGAACCTGCCCGCCCCTGCAGGAAACTTAAGAGATTCTGGTTTGATCCCTGGGACGGGAGATCCCCTGGAGTAGGGCATGGCAACCCACTCCTGTATTCTTGCCTGGAGAGTACCACAGACAGAGGAGCCTGACAGGCTACAGCCCACGGAGTCGAGAAGAGTCAGATATGACTGAAGCGACTTGGCATGCACACACAGACTATCTAACCAAAATTAATTAAGCATAAGGACATTTATTCTTTCACATAGCAATAAACCTAGATTCAGTCCAACTTTACTTATTTATTTTTTTTAAACCGGTTTCATTCACTTTATTATTCTCTTTATAAAATTATGTGATGGCTACAGCTGGGGCCTGGGTCCTCTGCACAGAGACTCTGGTGTGGGTCTTCACAAGATGGTCAGTAAATTCTTGATATGGAGACTTGGTGAACACCGTCTCTTTCCAGAGGTCAGGGGTGAGGTAACTGTAGGTCTTGGAAATGGCATCAAAAGTGGCCTTGGTGAAGTTGCCCAGGGTGGCGGTGCAGCCCCTGGCAGCAGTGTAGCAGCCGTCGATGCCGGCCATCAGCAGCAGCTTCTTGGGCACAGGGGCGGAGACGATGCCAGTGCCTCTGGGGGCAGGGATGAGGCGCACCAGCACGGAGCCCCAGCGGCCAGTCACCTTGCAAGGAACCGTGTGGGGCTTGCCGATCTTGTTCCCCCAGTAGCCTCTTCCCACGGGGACGATGGACAGCTTGGCCAGCATGATGGCCCCACGGATGGTAGTGGCTGCTTCCCTGGAGCACTTGACACCCAGACCGACGTGTCCGTTGTAATCCACGATGGCACTGGTCCGCTGGCCAGCACGGGTCTGCTTTTGCACGGGCATAATCTTCAAAACTTCATCCTTGAGGGACGCTCCCAGGAAAAAGTCAATAATCTCAGACTCCTTGATGGGCAGAGAGAAAAGGTAGATCTCCTCCAGGGACCTGATCTTCATGTCCTTGACCAGGCGGCCCAGCTTGGTAACGGGGAGCCACTGCTTGTCCTTGGCCTTGCCTCCGCGAGCTCCGCGGCCTCTGCCCCGGCCCCGACCCCGGCCTCGGGCGCCACTACCAAAGCCTCCGCGGAAGCCACCGCGGCCTCCCGTTCCAGGGCCTCCCGGGCCTCCGGGCCCTCCCGCAGCACCGGCGTCATCGCCATTTGGTGTTTTCACGAAGAAGAAGAGAGCTCAGTCCAACTTTAAAGGACTGGATCAAAGATGTCTTCATGGATCTAGATATTTCCCATCTCGTGGCTCTGCCTTCCTGGGCATCTCAACCATGTCTCCCTCCTACTCACAAGATGGCTGCAGTAGTTCCAGGCACCACGTGTCAACAAGAATATATCCAGCAAAGAAGGAGCTTCCCATAAGGCTCTCAGCAGATGTCACAGGTCAGTTGTACTAAATTGGATCTCATGCCTGTGCCTTATGCTTCAGGAGAATCTGAGGATGTGAGTAGCTACAATTCACAGCTCTACTGAAGGACAAGCACCTCCACCAAGTCAGAATGAGGTGGGGTAAGAGGTGTAGTGCCACTAATTCCACCAGCTACTTATGATTTTTATATTTCACTCGTCTTTATCTCTAAGGTGTGGATACACAAAGAACAAATCAAGGCCATGACAACACGAATTGCTAAACCATGACCCAAAGCCACCTCTAGTCGTGCTCCTGATCTGAGGCTGGGTTTAGATTTACCTAGCTCAAAACATCCACTTCCAATGCTGCTGTGTGGTTCCCTGAAGAGACGATGCCAACAGTGAGACCCCGTGTCCGCATGGTGTCATGGGTGGTGGCAGCCTAAAGTCCCTAATTTTAGTCCTACTTTCCCCCACCCATTTAGAAAGAATCTACGTTTCTCTTTTATTCCTCAATCAAATATCTTCCTGCTCACTCCAAAGAGAGAGCTGAACAGTTAAACTGGATCATTTCCTCTTAACAGAAGTTTTGTAAAATCCTAGAAGTTTCTCACAGCCACCAGACAGACGTCAGCTGCGTGCAGCACCAGAGTGACAGGAACCGTGACTGTTAGAATTAAGTTCAGCTGCAACAGGGATGTTGCAGGCCTAAATATGACTGCTGTGTATTTTTGTCTCGTGTAAAAGCCCTGATTTAGCATTTCAGGGCTAGTCAGAGGGTTCCACAGTGGGGCTAGCTAGGGCATGGTTCTCTTACTTCATAGGGTAGATGTACAGATTAAATAAGGTCATTTATACAGTTCTAGTATCGATACATCATAAACCTCCTTTTGTTTGATAATGAAAATAAAGGTAACTAATATTAACTGTATGGATCACAATAAACTGTGGAAAATTCTGAAAGAGATGGGAATACCAGAACAACTGACATGCCTCTTGAGAAACCTGTATGCAGGTCAGGAAGCAACAGTTAGAACTGGACACAGAACAACAGACTGGTTCCAAATAGAAAAAGGAGTACGTCAAAGCTGTATGTCGTCACCCTGCTTATTTAACTTATATGCAGAGTACATCATGTGAAATGCTGGGCTGGAAGAAGCACAAGCTGGAATCAAGATTGCTGGGAGAAATATCAATAACCTCAGATATGCAGATGACACCACCCTTATGGCAGACAGTGAAGAGGAACTAAAAAGCCTCTTGATGGAAGTGGAAGAGGAGAGTGAAAAAGTTGGCTTAAAGCTCAACATTCAGAAAACTAAGATCATGGCATCTGGTCCCATCACTTCATGGCAAATAGATGGGGAAACAGTGGAAACAGTGTCAGACTTTATTTTTTTTGGTCTCCAAAATCACTGCAGATGGTGATTGCAGCCATGAAATTAAAAGACGCTTACTCCTTGGAAGGAAAGTTATGACCAACCTAGATAGCATATTAAAAAGCAGAGACATTACTTGGCCAACAAAGGTCCGTCTAGTCAAGGCTATGGTTTTTCCAGTGGTCATGTATGGATGTGAGAGTTGGACTGTGAAGAAAGCTGAGCGCTGAAAAATTGATGCTTTTGAACTGTGGTGTTGGAGAAGACTCTTGAGAGTCCCTTGGACTGCAAGGAGATCCAACCAGTCCATTCTAAAGGAAATCAGTCCTGGGTGTTCATTGGAAGGATTGATGCTGAAGCTGAAACTCCAATACTTTGGCCACATCATGGGAAGAGTTGACTCATTGGAAAAGACCCTGATGCTGGGAGGGATTGGGGGCAGGAGGAGAAGGGGATGACAGAGGATGAGATGGCTGGATGGCATCACTGATTCAATGGACATGAGTTGGAGTAAACTCCGGGAGGCCTGGCGTGCTGTGATTCATGGGGTCGCAAGGAGTCGGACACGACTGAGTGACTGAACTGAACTGAATATTAACTGAGCTTTATCTATTAATATGTGTCAGTCCTGGGTAAGAGCTCTTTACATATTCGAATCCTCATTTAATCCTCACAACACCACTATGAGGAAAGGATTGTCATTATCGTCATCTTACTGATGAGGACACTGAGAGATTTGTTGTTGCTCAGTTGTTAAGTTGTGTCTGACTCTGCGACCACATGGACTGCAGCATGCCAGTCTCCCCTGTCCTTCACTATCTCCCGGAGTTTGCTCAAACTTATGTCCATTGAGTTTGTCATAGCTTTTCTTCCAAGCAGCAAGTTTCTTTTAATTTCACAGCTGCAGTAACTGTCCGCAGTGATTTTGGATTCCAAGATTAGAGGTCTTAATAAGATTGTGTCTTTAGTTAGTGCAGAGCTGAGAGGCGAACCCAGCTTGTGTGATTTCTGAGCTCGAGAGCATAACCACCCATCTGCACCACCGTACCCCACGTCACAGACCTCCCACCACGCCTCTCCCTCAGTCCTCTGGCTGTAAGACTGTCACAACAGGAAAAGTAAAGCATATGCTAAGAGCTAATTGGTAACATGAGGCAGTAGGGGCTGAGTGCTGAACGCGCGGTGTGATTCGAACAGGGAGAGGCTCCAATCCCCGGAGTGAGCAGGGAAGGCATCACAGGGGAGAGGGGCTGAGCTGGGCTGTGACAGATGGAGGAGGGTGAGCCGGGTGTGGGAGATGGAGTGGGTAAAGTCTTGGATGCCCAGGTGGCTCAGTGGTAAAGAACCCTTCTGCAGTGCAGGAGATTCAAGAGATACAGTTTCAACCCCTGGGTCGGGAAGATCCCCTGGAGAAAGAAATGGCAACCCACGCCAGTATTCTTGCTTGGAAAATTCCATGGACAGAGGAGTCTGGAGGGTTACAGTCTGTGGGGTCACAAAGAGTTGGACACGACAGAGAACGCACCACCACAGGCTTGGAGGTGGGGAAGGAAATAGCATGTTTAAGGAATAACAAGGAATCAGTCCTGGCTAAATCATAGGATTCTTTTTTTTTTTAATTTATTTTTTTATTTTTTCCATTTATTTTTATTAGTTGGAGGCTAATTACTTTACATCATCGCAGTGGTTTTTGTCATACATTGAAATGAATTAGCCAAATCATAGGATTCTTACAGAGGAGTCCTGAGGAAGACATTTGGAAATGAAGATTGGAATTAGATTAAAAAGAAACTTGAGTGTTGTTCTAGAAAGCTGAGCTGTACTCAGTAGACCCTGGGTAGTCATTAGGGGCTTTGAACAGTGAAATCACATGATGGAAGCAGTTTCTTGAGGAATAATGTGGTGGTGGGAGGGGTGACATGGAGCTTCAGAGACGGGCTAAGAGGCCCTCGCAATGGTCTGGACATGAGGTAATGTGAACTTGAAGTGTTAGCATGAGGTATGGATGGAATGGAAAGGACATGAGAGCCATCGCTAGAGCAGAAATGAGGTGACTGGTGACTGGAGCTGGGAGCCGGGGAACAGGAGCGGTTGGGAGTGAACGCCAGTTTTTAAGGGTGAGTGATGGGAGAACACTGTTATAAACAGAAGCTCTGACTCTCGCAGTCAGAGAGGAACCCCGTGTGCCATCCATCCCCTGAGAGGTCTCTGTCAGGGCACCTAGACCAGCCAGTTGTCTTCTCCTTCTTCTTCGCTGCAAAGTCCCACTTCCTCCGGAGAAGAATCTAGGGTAACAAGGGAAAGCATGGATTTAAGGTCAAAGATAGGAATTTAAATCTTCCCTGATTGTTACCAGCATGAGCACATTTCTTATGGCACACTTCTGTCACCTTGGACACATTTCTTCATGTCTCTGAGATTCAGTTCTTTTAAGTTAAGGATGATAACACACACTTGATAGGGTTTCAGGGGGTTTCAATAACACAAAGCAACCCAGCTGGGGCAGTGGTAAAGAATCTGCCTACCAAAGCTGGCAGTTTCTATCCTTGGGTCCAAAACAGCCTCTGGAGTAGGAAATGGCAACCAACTCCACTGTTCTTGTCTGGAGAATTCCATGGACAGGGGGGCTCGGTGGGCTACAGTCCATAGCGTTGCAAAGAGCCGAACATGACTGAAGTGACTTAGCATGCACGCAAAACACTGTGAAGATTTTATAACTGAAAACCTAAACTAAGACTATATAATGAAACTGAGCACTAAATTTGGCTCTGAGTTACTCAGCAGCCAATGTGAAATGAGAAATAGGATGAATTTCCTAGTATTGATTATGAAAATAGGCCTAAATGATTATATCCACATGCTTAGGATTTGTGTGCAAGACACAAAGATGGTACCTTGATACGAATATGAGATGCCTCAGTTTATATTCTTGCTCATAAAGAAGTCCACATCATGTGCTATTCCACCTTAGTATCATATAATCAAAGTGAAGCATACTTTACTAAGTATACTTCTGTCTAGTAAAAAGTCAGTCACAGTTTTAAAGTAAATGACTAAAGAAAAAAGCAAGGAAAAGCTATGTTTGATACCTCAGGAGAGGAGAATGTAATTTGGTAAATGTAATTTTGCTTCAATGGTCTGCCTAAGAGGAACATGCTGGTCTGAGTGGCATCTTGAATTATCTTAAACAAGATAATGTGCATGCCATTGGTTTCCCTTC